AAACACATTTATGATTACCACTATTCTGTATTTAGGAACGTGAAAATGAGCAGTAATAAGAAAACCGCCATCAAGATCAATGATTCCTCTGCCCCCAAGACCAATGATAATAACACATCTGAGAGTAATTATTCTAGCAACCTATCATTTTCCGCACCAAGAACCAGACAACGAAGCAAACTGAGACAATCTTTATCTTGTAAGTTTTGTGTTATAAATACTCTATGAAGCATTCTATTTATTGAAATATAATTGCCAAAGACAGACAGTGGCTAATAAAATTATATCTTTAATAAAAATTAGATAAGGAGATCTGGGGAAAAATATCAAAAGATAATTTAGAACGTGATAAGATGAATGACGATAATGATTAGTTAAATCCTGATCAATGGGATGATATGTTAGATCAAGCGTATAATTGATTCATCTTTTTGAAACATATATTTTTTTTTCTGTATGCTGTCTGGTAATTTTTTAAAAAATAAAGAGAACCCACTATATATGTGGGTTAATAATTTTCCAGTTTTTTAATTATTCTGATTGGATGGAATTTCTTGGCATTTTTTGACAAATATTGTTCGCTGAAATTTCATCAGTTTACATTAACATGATAAAGAATTGAATATATCTATATTTTTATAAAACCAGCAATGATGATAAAGATTTTACTGTGAAAGTGATGGAAGCAAAGAAGCGTGATTAGTAATTGTATAGATCTATAATATCTGATATCTCAGTATTTTTTTCTCTAGATGTTGGAATATTTGGTCTGTTATTCATCACACCATAATGATCTGATGCAATAATAATTACCTTGTGTCTTAATGTTAATTGATGGAGACATTTACATTTGGAATCATTCTCATCTTTATGAATATCAATAGCATGATCGGAACCAATTTTTCTCAAATATGATGAGCTTATTCCATAAATAGCTAGGAAATTATTAATGAGGTGAACATTTACATTACCATCTTTATCTCTTATTAAAAATGGGAATTTGTTAGAAATTGCTTTCTGGATCTAAATAAGTAATTCTCTAGCCAGTAGTGGATCTTTCTCCATAGATACTAATGGTTTAGATTTGTCTTTATTATTTTTGACATATCCAGTGCAATACCAAGAATATTTAGGATTATACCATTCAGTAGTATCTGCTTTATAATACTTAATACAGAGATTTCCCACATCTGCTGGTCTCATACATAATATTATCATTATATCAATTAAATTTTGCATAGAGAGAGATTTTGTTATATCACACTTACTAAGTCTTTCCTAAATATTTTTCAGATAAAAGAATTCTGGATAATCGAACCCCTCATCTTCACGGAGTTTCTGATTTATTGCTTGTTCTTTATTTGATTTTTGAGTAATATCAGATATATATATTGCTTCTAATGTAAGATATTTAACATTAAGTATATATAATTTTTTTTGAAGCAATTTAAGACGTGAAGATTGAGCTATTATAGTAGAAGCTGTTTTAGCTAAGTTATATGCTAACATATTTATCTCTTCAGGTTCAAGATTATCTTCATTTTCCTTAATATATTGAGCAAGCTTTTCAATTGGGTCTTGCCCTGTAACATGTCTTTCGGAAGCCTGGATAGGAATTAAAGCATATGTTTAATCTTTACTAAATCCTAACTTCTGGATTCTATTTCAAGCATGATCATGAGCTTTATAATCTTTTAATTCTTTACATATTTTTTCAGTATAATTATCAAGCTCAGTGATACTCATTTGAGGAGTTAAGTTATACTGATTTATGAAATTTGTAGCTACCTTTGACATTGTTAATACGGTATAATTTTGCGGACTATAACTATGAAATATATTTTTTCAAATCAAAATTAATTATCCATGGATAGTTATGTTCAAAAAGTTAAATGAGTCATAATTATTATGATTCTATCGGAAAATAGATGCGAACAAGACACAAGTCTGATCAAAAGTTTTAATCTATATATATCAGGTATATGATACACGTTAATATCTTGGGTCAGATCTGTTAATTTGAAAGTTACTAATATATAGGATATAACGAAAAAAATTTATAGCTTCGAGTTGTGGTGACTCAGGCTATATTAACATCATTTGGTACTAGATAATATGTTTTATTTTTTGTTATCTTCAATAACTGCTTCGCTAATATACTTCTCAAATGGTAATGGATGAACTAAAAGTCCTTCTTCTTCCCAAAGTACATATCTATCACATATCAATTTATTATATGTTGATCCATTAATTGTAATCATGCAATTTGTTTTGGAGTTATAGATTTTTGGCTTTCTCTAATGATTAGTCAATTTGGATAATTGCTCAGCAGTAATCATTTCTTTGTTATATTCTGGCTCTTTGGTATATATTTTTGTATAATATTAGTGTGATATATAGTGTCAATATATATTCGGTTATAATATTATAAAATAATTTGGAAAAGTTTAAATTGATTTTTATATACTATACATGAAAATATGAGTAAAAAATATGTTAGTATTTATATAGAGTTTTATAGAATATGAGAGGTTATAAGTAATATTTCGAATAGTATCTCCAATACATAATACATTATTATAATCTGAAAAGATTTAAATTGGTTTTATATTAAATATATTCACATAAAAAGTGAAACAGGTTTTATACGTTATATATTAAAACACTCTGAATGGGAAATTCAATCTATCAATACATTAAAAGAGAGAGTTCAGGATGTTCAACCTGTCCATATGTTAAAAGAGATAGTTTGATTTGTGGAAAAGGTTATTGGCGGGACATAGGATGTTCATTATACTGGAAATTATATGATACAAATATAGCAAAATTTCCTTGCAGGATCTGTGGAAAACTAATAATTTCTGGGATGGGATATTGTTCTAAACACGCAAAGAGGGTTTATTTTTGAAATTGGTATGAGAAACAAAAGGTGCAAAGAATAGAAGCTGATACGTAATTATACTCACTTTTACTAAAGGTAGCTACTATATAACTATAGATATCAATTTTAAACATCACAAAAATAGTCTTCGTAATAGATTTTTTTTACAAGTATCAATTTTAAGCGTCACAAAAAATCTCTTTGTAAAATGTGTCACAGACTATTACTAAATAGATACATACATTAACAGATATCAAATAGGTCCTGAGTATTCTGTGAGATAGAATTGGGAGAAGTTTCTATTTCATCGGACGAGAGTTTACTATACCCATATCACCAATTTTTTTTATTATCCCAATTCTCATCCATCTGGTATGGTAGCAACTCGGATATATATGCATAGGCATATATACTATCAAATGCTCCATCTAGATGATAATGTGTATACTTGTTATTTGTACCTTTGAACTTCAAACTGTAAGTTGCATAAAGTGCTGAATTTAATAAATCAAGTTTTGCTCTAAGAGTTTTTAATCCAGATTTTTTGGTACATCAGAATGTATCTGTATTATCAAAAATCCGAGTCATTTTAGGAACTAATTCTTGGAGATATTTTATAGATTCAGGTGATTCTAACCATATTTTAATAATATCAGTTTTATATTTATTTCTATCATCAATATCTTTAATGGGTGTATAAATTTTTAATAATCCAAGACAAATTTGATGTTTTTCAGCTCTAGTAACAGTTATAAGCCTATCATTTCTATAATCTTCATGGGTAATTATCTCAACTGCTGTCTTATTATTAGTACCTGCATCTCGTAATTTCTGAAGAGCTCTAAACCAGCACATATGATTATAATTTCCAAACTCTGAGATAAATTCTTCAGTCAAAGACTCAGGTGCTATATTATAGCAATTTACAATATGGTACCAGTCTAATGCTCGCATTTCTTCTAAAGTTTTCTTTGATTTATTTTCTAGATGCTCAGCCGTTTTACGGTTAATAATATTTGCATTTGCAAGATCTGAAATTTCTTCTACTTTAATAACCAAAAAACATTCCTTTACTATTTCAGGGGGAACGCTAAAGCAGGGTAGTGGATTATATGTCAATTTGAATTATGTAAATCCAGATCATGTCAATCTGAATTTACCTATAAAGTTGTACAACCGTACACAATATATTTTGTCATTATTGCAAGATAATTTTTTTTGTTTTTTGTTGAATGGTTGGCGGGGGAATAAAAACAATAAGGATAAGGGTGGATATTGGTTAAGGAATAATTATGTTGATAACACAAGCTTAAAAATACATTCATATAAGAAACGCAAAAAAAAAAACCAAATACATTCGCGCAAGAAACGCAAATCTTATATTTCGAGCTGTATTTAAGCTGCAAGAAACACTATAAAAACAACTCACATATGCACACATACACACATACATATGTACACACACATACGTACATACAAACCACACGCACATACAAATCACACGGCACACCACACACCACACACCACACACCACACATCACACGGCACACTACACGCATACCACACGCACACATACGCACACATACGTACACACACGCGCATACACCTTTATACCTCGAACAAGACTTCTAATACAAGAAATTATTAATCAAAAACACACGAGTCTTTTTAATATTAATAACTCCTTCGAAGTATCTGAAAAGGAGTTTTATGAAGAATTATGGCCACTCGTATCCAACGTCTGAATACGATATAACAGCTGGCAATCTCTTAATAACAATTTTTGGATCGTTTATACCTGTCGTCTCTTAAAGCATCACGAATCCAGTACACGGAAAGCAGGGATCCTAGTTGAAAAGAGGAGAAAGACAAGTAAACGCGATTCCAACCAGTGTGATGCCAGAATTAAAGTAACGCATATTGCCACAACACAAATGGTATGAATCGAATGCTATAAAAATGCTCCAGATCATACACACCAAATCGAGGATATTGATCAAATAAAGCGGCCAGAAGTAATCAGACAGCTGGTGACTAATGAAGCAAGCAAACCATATAAATCACCA